CAGGGATGTGAGCCCCAGACCAGCCTCTGTCCTTGGGTGCCATTATGCAACACTCAGTCTGGGCTGTGGGGCGGGCCCGGGGGATCTGCCTGCCCCCCTCAACCTTGACAAGTTAACCCTTGTGCTGCCCGCTGTGCGCCCACACCCCCTGCAGCTTCCCACACTCTCCTCTGTCCCTCCCAGCTGGGCTTCGCCGACTTGAACCTGGCCGAATTCGCAGGCTCAGGCTCCACAGTGCGCTGCTGCCTGCTGGAGGGATATGACACGAAGAACACCCGTCAGGACAACTCCATCCTCAAGGTACCAGGGTCCCCCACCACCTCTTCTGCCCCTTTTACTAAAGGAGCCCGGCAGACCTGCCCCCATCCTCTGGGGGGTTGTGAAAAATACGGATTCCTAGCCTAGACACTAGGAAGATGTGGTCCCAGGGTCAGGAAACCACCCTCAGAAGCCTGGCTCTGCCACTGGCCTCAGTTTCCCCATCTTTAATTGGGGGGTCGGTGGGGGGGGACCCCAGCAGTCTCGTTAAGGGTTTGATGAGCACTTTTGGTGAGATGCGCATCCCCAGGTGTTTGCCATCTCGCATCTCATGACACCTGACAGCAGCCCCATCGGGTGTGGTATGTGGTTTGGTCCCAGTTTTGCGTAGGAGGGGGTCAGGGCACAGAGGTCAGATCATTTGCCTGGGGTCACAGGCAGAACTGATGCTTGGCCCCCAGCTGTTTGACTCCACGGTCCAGCTCCCAACCATTGCCCCATGTGACACCAGACTGCCTGAGCTCGCAGTGGAGGGTCAGTGTGGAAGAACCTGCCATCCCTTGAGCCGGGCAGACCGAGGGATTTCCTCCCAGAGCCCAGCCACAGGCAGGTTTCCGGCGGCCGGGGCAGCTCCGTCCCTCCAGGCAGCTGGCTCTCTGGCCTCTCAGGACAGAGCTATCTGGGCATCTGCCACGGCCAGCACACCTCTCTTCCTCGTCCCCACACCCTTCCACCCGATTGAGAAAACAGTCTTGTCCTAACCACACCTCTGCGAGCTGACCCAGCGGGAACGTGTTGTGCTTAAAGCAGAGCCAGGCAGAGGTGGTGGCCTGGGGTGCTGCGGCCCCTAGGCCCTTTGCAGAGACAACCAGAAGTACCCAAAAAGGTCCAGGCTAGTTGTGATGGGAGCCAGGACCTTTCAGTCTCACCCCACTGGCCCTGTGCACCCTTAGGCAAACCAGGGGGCCTAAGGGGGGGGTTGCAGGTGGCTGCAAAGCCGGCCACCTCACATCCTGTCTGCACGGCTTTGGGCCCTTACTTCCCTTGAGTCTGTGTCTGGGTCCTGCTTCCCTCTCCTACAGCCTGGGGCCATCACCCACTTTGTAGGCACTATCACAGCCAGATGAAATAATTCATTAAAAAAAAAAAAAAGAAAAAGAAAAACAGTCTCAGGGGGTGCCTGGCTGGCTCAGTCTTAGAGCATGTGACACTTGATCTCTGGGTCATGAATTCGAGCCCCACATTGGGTGTAGAGCTTACTTAAAACAACAAAAAAGTCTCAGCCCAATGATCTCCATTTTTGTCAGTGTTGGCACTGGCTTATGAGTACCCATTTCTTACCCCATCTCCCTCTTCCTGTCGCTCTATCTCAGCCCAGACTTGGGGACCCAGCCTTGCCTTGTTTGGTCCATTGATCTCTGCCCAGGTGCATGATGTCGAACTTCTGATGGCTTCTTGCTTTCCTTTACTCAACATGCTTTCACCAAGCCCCCGCCGTCCATGTTGGGCTCTGTGGGCACCCCTTCTCCCACTCCCACCCACCATGTTGTGCCTGGTGAACCCCCTCCCTACCAGGTGGGCTTCGTGAGCCTCCCTCATGCCTGCCTGCCTGCCTGCCTGCCTGC